ATCGTGCAGGTCACGGGTTCAACTCCAGGGAACTGTGCAGATACTGTACACAGGTAAGCTGAGGTCAAGGGATCGACCCCTGGGATCTGCATCGGCTACTGCCAAAGGTGAAAACTGTTTCAAGGAGGTCTGCAGCCTAATACTCGGTGAATGCCACCTAACGGTCACTTTGTTGGAGAAAGAGCTACGGAATCTGTTGCGATCCTATGTCTGGACCGGCATGAAAATCGACTGCATTTTGTGTGTGCAAAGTTGTAAGGTTTGTCAAAGCAATAAGAGTACGACACAGCCCCCATCACGACTGCTAAAACCGCTACCAATACTGTCGGGACCAAGAGAGTCAGTGCCTACAGACGTCTAGGGTCTATTCACGGGGCCACTAGAGAAAGTGTGTATGCCTAGCGTCTGAAGTGCCCGTACAGAAGAGCTCGTTCGACAACGCTTCAACCAGGTCTGGATGTGGGATATCCGGCCTAGTGCTGGCGCCTGCCACCAGTCAGTTCTCCTGGTGCACCGCCTACTACATCAGTCCCTTCTCGTAAGGGCGTTGACACTTGAAAAAAAAAAAGGGAAAAAAAAGGGATCATGATGGAGTACTATGCATTTAAAATGGAAAAAAAAAAGAAAAAACTGGTAAGTGGATGGAATAGACAAAAACAGCAGACGACGGAAAACCTACCTGGAGGGCCATCTTCATCTGCGAGTACACACCAAACAGGACAGAACTTTCGATGGACACTCCCACAAAAGAAGACGTGGCTCCTCTGTACAGCCCGCGGATCTACAAGAGCGTCCCACAAAAAAGAAAAGGAACAGACAGAAGCCAGCCCACGCAGAACCAAAGCCTCCGGTCGCAGATCACACCCACAGACACAAAGCAAGAGGCAAAGGACTCACACACAACCATAGAGAATAGACCCGACTCAAAAAGAGAACCAGCCACAGAGCCAGGCATGCAACCAGGCACAGGACCAGAGCCAAAACAGAACCAGGCACGCGGCCAGACTCAAAACAGAACAATGCACAGATCTGAACAGGGAACCAGGTACAGGCCCACAACAAGGCACAATAGGAGCCATAAATGTTCGACAACAGGCACAGAACCAGACTCGACAGTGGTCAATGGATTTAGGTCCTGACACTTGCTCCTTATGGTATCCTCTTTCCACACACCTTCCTCCCAACTCTCCCCAATCCATACTTCTAAGAGTTGACAAACCTAAACCAGTACACCTCACAAACTCTCTAAAGCAGATCATTCACAGACCGTATTATGCAAAGCAGGAACCGTGGACCGCATGGAGGGACAGAGACAGGCTAACATTAGTAAAGACAAGAAAGGAGATGGAAAGCAGTCATGGACTTCAGCAACAGGACGCAATGGAATCAAGACTCAGAACTCAAACATCATTCCACACACACCTTCAAGGATGGGGTGAGTGGCTTAAACCACCACCACCCTGTTATGCCCCCCCCTAGTGAACATTGATGTAGCATCGACTTTCCCTGAGTTGTGGTGGATTTCAAGAACACCAACTCTTGCAAGTCAAAGAGGCAACTTTGTGTGTGGAGACCACAACTACGGTGCTCGAATAGGCACAAACATGATATAGTAGTACTTTGTTTTTGCCCCTTCATGCCTGACGGACCACGGATCAAACATTAAACCGATCAGACCAGACACTTGATCCTTTAAACCACCACTACCTCTGTCATTGTTGGGAAAAATGGGAAAACTGGCTGTTTTCCCACTTTTTCCAAACTTTTCGGGGATTGGATGAGGCTCGGCAGTTGGGCCTTGAGGGCCCCTTCGAAAAACAAAAGATCATGTCGGGGAAGGCCGTGCACCAAGATGTACTCACACCAAACTCAGACGTTCGTATCTACCCGCTATAGCGGCCAGTTTCAGGTTTTCATTGTTTGTGTTTTTTGTTTTCGTTCTTTTTTTTGTTTTGGTGCCTGCCAGGGAGGCACGGCGCAGTCCACGGGCTGCTGACACTTTGTGGAGGAGGGCATGCCCACACTATTACTTTGCAGAATGTATGAACCCGCTTTCCCACCCTAAGTTCAGTTTCCATTTTTTTCCCCCCTCGTCCTTCTTTCGCGGACCTGACACACTTTGGCATAATGCCCTCACTGAGGGCATACTCACACAACGACTTTGGGCTAGGTAGATACAAGGTATCACATCCAGAGGGGTGTTTTTTTTCCTTTTTTTTTTTTTTGGCTGCGAGTTGGTCGTTTTTCGAAAGTCTGGCCGTGCTTTTTTTTTTTTTTTCAGGAGAGTACCAGAAAAGAAACAAAATGGAACCCAGGCTCAGCAAAACTCGGTGCGCAATGACGGGGTCAGCAAAAACAGGCTCGGAGGTTGTGGTGGTTTAAGGAAAAAAAAAACAAAAAAAAAGTCCGAAAAAGGTATGCATAGAGTAAGTACCTTAGCATTTCTTGTCAAACAGCTATTGTTGTCTAAGAGTATGTATGAAAGGGAAACGAAGAAGAGACTGTAAGAAGAGATGTGGGAGAGAGCAAAGGGAAGCAATGGTCACACCCTCCTTTCATCGTTTCAGATTTTTCTTTAGTTTTCCCCTTTTCCATTTTCTGCAATATGTTTCATATGGAGAAGAGACTTCCATCCAACTTGTGGTCACTTGCCCATGGAAGCCGCTGGCGGGCACGGGCATCTAAACAGGACCTCGGTGTGAAGACGGCACATGCTTCATAATGGAAAACAGGGCATACTGTGTAGTTTTATGAGCAGTGTAGTCATTGAAAACGGAAGAAGAGCATCCATCCCACATGGTTTAGCATTGTGAACGTAGTCATACCCCTTCAGACCGCAAAGTGTGCAACGCACAATGCACTGCCCCATTGTACCTCAAGGCATTAGCAGTTGTATTCTGTGTTTGCAGCTTCACCTGGCACACACACACACACACACACACACACACACACACAGAGCCAATATTTTTGTACACTGTAGTTAGGTAGCGCAGTTCGACACACACCACAACTCATTGACCAAATGGGGACCAGGTAAAACCCTGATAGATCATCTAATCGAATGATGTTGATGTCAAATGGCATAAGGGACTACATTCCATGAAAAGCCAAATCATAGTTAGATTTTTTTTATCCCACGATGCCAATGGCACTCAATGGTACTCGTCATAAAAGCCTACATCCTACAAGATCCCCAAAGTCAAATAATTCAGCTGTTTTAAAGTTTTTTAAACTTTTTTTTCTATACTATCTTGATTATGATTTCCTTATTCAGATACTCGATGAAATAAGAGAGAGGGATATTTTGCTCTTTATACACTTACATTGTTTATATCATATTTTTGCAAGGAAGATTAGCATTAGCGAACTTCAGCAATCAAATAGCATCATACATATGAGCCCAGATAGTCTTGACCTCGAACCACAGCAGACTGGCATCACGAGATACACCAAATAAGAACACACCAAGAGTTCAAAATTGACAATGCTGAAGWAGTCCCATCAYCATCAACTACGAACCAGAGTTGATATCCTATTGGCGCTCGGCGCCCAGACTACARGTGGCAGATCCTATCTARCCTATACTATRAAGCAGAATGATGACATCAACAGCGTTCCCGAAGTACGAGCATATGGCGACCAATGTCGCACGCTTCAGCACCAGGTATGTCTCTCGTAACACTCACAACCCCGATCCACACCGCACAGATGCCACTAGCACCCCAAGGACCTCCCTGCGCTTCACCTAGCATACAGCAGCTCAGCTTGGCTATGGCTGCGTGCTCCCTCCTACTCACCCGTGAGAGCGTGAGTGCCAGCCAGCCAGCGGATTGCGCAGCAGCGCTCACGCAGCATGCAGCCAGCACCCGAATGCCGAATGAGGAGGCAGGCCCTTCCCTATATCGAAGTGGCCTGCCTGCGTCCAGTCCAGGAAGCTTCCGGTAGGCCCCGGTAGGCCCAGGCCCAGTCACGAAGAGAGCAGGCCTTGAGCCTGAAGTGGTTGCATGCGCCCAACTGCTTTCGGCCTGTGTTTGGCCCGGTACCCGTATCCAG